GCGGATTCACCTCACATTCACCGCGTTTCGCCCAGCCTTCACAACATTCATTCTCGTTATAGCAAACATCCTAAAATGAAATTTTTTGCGAAAATTTAGTCATTGTATTACACCCTAAATTTTCCTCCATTATTTTGATTAATGCAATCGATGTGCATATTTTGCTGACTAGAGCAAGTATATCTTCGGAAACTTCTGGTTTTAATATATCTTCAAAATACCCTTACCGGACGCGGTGGGGCAACTGTAGTAGTAGTTGTTGTTGTTGTGGTCGTCTGAAACTCAAGTTGAATTAAATGTTTAAATTGAAAATGGAATTGAAATCATCAATGCGATCAAATCACGAAAACATATATTTTTTAAACTCTTTTTTTGTAGCGTTCATCAGACGAAGTCTCGTCAAAACGAAATAGTAAATCAAAATTTGAGAGATCGCTAATGACACTTGATTTCGCACTAAATTCAGTGACACTTGAATAGTGGGACTAATATAAGTTGAATCATACAAGGAATACAAAGTTAGCCACAAGGTTAGATGTAAATTATTCTGAAGAGGCAATGGACTCAAAACGCGCAATTCATCGTTCCAAATGATGCATCGATTGCTTATAAACAATCCAAACGAATCAGAATCATAACAAAATGGTAACTGAAATAATGAGTGCTTAAAAGCTCAATGAACTGTCAACCGTTATGGGTTTTTCGCATCGTCCACTAGCACAGAATCCATCATAGCAAACATCTTCGTTATTCGTGAAGCCAGTGCATGAACCGCCAAGTTTTACTTTTGATGTGCATTGTGGTCGGTCATGAGAAAGATCACAGAACAGGTACCTCCAAAAGGTGATTTTAATAGAAAAAATATTATGTTCTACTGGAATGGAAACATTGTCTACCAGCTACCAGGTAAACTCGCGTTTTCTTTTCTGCTACGGAATTGTGATTGAGATTGCTCTCGTTCACCGGAAAGGTTCTTCATTTTTTTGAATTTTGAGTAAGAGTGTTATCTGAGCCTGTCGTTCCGGGTTTAAACTGTAATGGCCATGCACTCTGAGAATTTGTGCAGTATGCTTACAAAGAATTCTAGTTGAACAATAATTGCTATTTTAGTGTAATTCGAAGATCAGATGCGCAGGTTTCAACACTTAAAACAATGAAAGAATCGATGACATCAGAAATCACCTTGATCCACAATGAGGCCAATTTTTGGTGCAATATGAACGCGGAAAGTATTCGTATAGGTCATCGGTGTATTTGTTTGAAAGGCCATCGATGTTGGTGAACGGCGTAAACGGTAGCATCGGAGCCGCGGCAAAATGGACTGTACTGCTGCACTGCTGGCGATCTGGTGGATATTGTGTCTCACGTTCATAACGAGTCTGAATTATTAGTTCTAGATGAGACAATTGCAGATAAATACAACTACTAATGATCGGATACACGATACTGGATATAGTGTAAGATGATTTGACCAATCATATGGATTGAAAGGCACACACGCGAACGCTTTTGAATTGCTTCATTCTGTTCTGATTTTTGTCTCCGATGCCAAAATGATTTTTGATTTCAGGAGAGCTTGATATAGTGTAAGATGATTTGACCAATCATATGGATTGAAAGGCACACACGCGAACGCTTTTGAATTGCTTCATTCTGTTCTGATTTTTGTCTCCGATGCCAAAATGATTTTTGATTGCAGGAGAGCTTGAAGTGTATAATTCCAAGATATGCTGATTCCGATTCCGAAGAGGGGGATTTTTAAAGGTGCTGCAATTTTGAGAGAATTTGAAAGCGCACGCTGGGCATTCGGTTTGATAAGTATTAAACTGCTCTATATGTTCTGTTTTGATCCATTGATTAAACGCATTTAACATCAATGCGTTGGGTTTTCGAACAAACCATAGATCTGTTTAATGCGCCATAATTCCCAAATGTGATCAACAAATGAATGATGCATTTGGAAAATTGGGTCATCGGCACTCGTTAGTGGACTGTACATATCACCACCAACAAAAAGATGCACATATCCGTGCGAATACTCCAAACAATCGAAATCTGCCGGATATTCACATCCCTGAACTTATTCTTTATTCTCTTTCAGTCATTCTTTATTGTCTTTCAGTTAACATTCATTTGATATATTTGTCTTCTCATGAGAAGTGCTAATTGAAAGTACACCCGATCGGCAATGCAACTACAGTAATGCTTCACTTCAAATCATCTATGTTCACAATTTTCACTGATATCCTATTTTAACTTGTGGACAAGTACATAAGAATGTGCTTGATTCTGCTACTATTTTCCAAAATTTAAAAGATCATTTAGGATAGAGTAGACATGATTTTGGTTTCCGGATTTGCCTCACAGCATCTGAAGAGATCACTAACTAACACGTCGTGGTGCGGAATATGCGAGAACTTGATCGATTCGAGTTTCTCGCATAACTGCTTCAACCCTTTCTTCTGTGAACGTCCATCCGACACCACCAACATTTCTGCGCAGATACGTACCCTGTAGGATCATTAGTCGCACCATTCATTCCTTACGCAGCTACGGCATCAATATACATCTATTTCAGCTCGACGCAACTATTGCTCTACAGCATTTATATACAAACTCAAGGACTTGAAAATTATTCGAACTGCAGTGGGCAATCGAAGTGTAATTGAAGTTTTAATACTTTCAATAACCAATTCATTCATGTTTGCGAAAACATTAAAGTAAACTTAACGAGTTTCAACCAAACGTTTAATTCTCGCCAACAGTTGTATCGCCGAATTGTGATGCTTACCTTGCTAGTGGTCCAGTTTGCGAATGGCCCGTCCGCTACGCGACCATCGGAAATCGATGAGCCCAAGAAATCCTCGGTGAAAAGAATTGAGTCCTTCGCATTCGGAAGATTCGCCTCCATCGATGAATCCCAGTAGGGCACCGCTAATGTTGGGTCAATGAGACGAACCGCTATTTCGATCCTGATCATGATNNNTGGTTTCATCACGAGATGCGTTTGTCGAAATGAGTAGATAACAGGTTAAGGAGTTCAGCGTGAGTAATGTAAAGACGATCAGAAATTTTATTTGATATCATCCACGAAAGGTAGGATGATGCATGAGTAGCCAGGAAACTAAATGAGGAAAATAATCGCTTCCAAAGCTTTCCGGAAAACCTTTTGAGGTATTCACGATGCCATGGCAGGAACGCTGGACCAGCGTGAGCTCCAGCTCCGGTCACTGCATCTGCATGTAACAATGCCAAACGGTCGAATTCGCCGGAATTTTTCAACTCTTGAATCACCTCTAATGATTATTCTAATTAAATGCTCGATGACTAGCGTGAATTTGGTTTTTGGTAACTCGATAAAACGTTGAAGCCCGTTAGAAATCGAATCAAAAAAGAAACAGTTTTCCGCCGTTCGAGCATCCTATCGTTCCCCTTATTCCTCTAAGTTTGAATTTGGGAAGACTACTGAAATATTACTTCGTTATATCGCTGCCGCTC